CTTCTTAATTTTTAAACTTTCAAAATTTGTGGAATTTTGGGCTGACAATATTTTTCTAAATTCAACCTCAATCTCTGGCTATTTTTGTTTGTTTGAAACTCACTTTATGAGTCTCACTGACACCCTTGTTCTGCTTTGTTACAGGATTGCCATGCTACTTCCAATGCTGCTCCAGTTCTTGATGAACAAGAAGATGTCAAACTGCTGTGGGGGAAGCAGAATGGAACTCATACAAGCCTACGATTCCGAAGAGCTTGGGACACTTGTGACCATCAGGATATGGTGCTAGGGGTAAGAATATCTGAATCAGATATCCTGAAATCTATAACAAAATGATCAAATTAAGTTTTCACCAAAAATGATAATGTGTAAATCTTTTCTTTTAAATGGATAAACAACCATTAAATACTCTTTCTTACACGATATGTGCATGTCTTATTACAGGAAGATACAATCCGAGTCATATGGGCAATGGGAGAGAGAGATCCTGTGATTGATGACATCATTGGTGTTTCGGGGCTTGAGTGGCATGGTGCTCAAAATAGGGGAAGCCGTTCCCTACATCTGAGGGGACCCCCTGCAGTTCTTGAGCCACATGGCACGGATATCTACTCGTGGGATGTCAGACAGGAAGAGGTGTGTAGTGGAAATGTTCATTGTATCAGTTGTTCTTGTTCCCTTTGGTTTGATGTTTAATGTGACTCCTCTTTTCAGTTTATCGTACCTGATAATATGGACACCGTTTACTGGTGCAGAATATTCAAAGTACCAGGTCTAACAAAGAAGCACCATATGCTTGGAGTAAGCTGCTGCTCATCAAATTGTTTATAACCTTAAAAAGAAACATTTGTCTAACATGTCTTTACTTTTCCAAATTTTCCAGTATGAACCAGTCATTACGCAGGACTCACATCGCCATGTGCATCACATGCTCCTCTACGAATGTGCTCCCAAGTCTCGCCAAATACCTTTGTTGGAAAAAGCTGCTTCAGAACGTGGTGCTGCGTGTTACTCTCCAGCAATGCCCCCAGAGTGGGATTCCTGTCTCACTCCTATTGTTGCGTGGGCCGTTGGTTCTCAAGGTATGTTTTGTTGAATTAATGTTTTTTTTACATGTAAAATTTATCTAAATATATGCAATTTTCTTCGTGTTTAGGTGAATTTTTTCCAGAGCATGTTGGTATACCTCTTGGAGAAGGTCATCGTTCTACCTATTTTATGCTGGAAGTTCATTATGATAATCCATCACTCAAACGATGTAAGCTTGGTAGACTGTAAATAATTGGCTATTTTCTGATTGGTTGTCTCTTGATTTTCATGCTGGGCTGATGTTTGCTTTTTCAGTGAGAGATAATTCAGGCCTCAAAATTTACTACACTCCAAATCTACGACAACATGATGCTGGAATATTATCCACTGGGATTGCTGTTTCTCCTTTGCACATGATTCCTCCCCAGCAACCGGGCTACACCACCTTTGGTTACTGTCCATCGCAATGCACCAACAAGGTAGGGTGTATGTTACATGCCAACCACACATTATTTTTGTGTTTTCGAAGTGTGCTCTCTAACCATAGTTTTAAAATTTTTGTGCAAACTTTTGTGTACTGTAGTCTTAAGGTCGCCTTTGTTTGTTTCAGTTACTGCCAGGTGGTGGCATCAAAGTCATTTCAGTTGTTCTCCACTCTCACATGGCTGGAAGCCGGATGGAATTAAGACATTTAAGAGATGGAAAAGAACTTCCCCGAATTGCACAGGTATATATTTTCCTGATCCTAGATATGTAGTTTGTAAGGTTGAATTGAAAAATACCATTATACTAATTTTCATATTCTCTTTAGGATAAGCATTACGATTTCAACTATCAACAAGCTAGACGCTTGCCCAGAGAAGTTGCTGTTCTCCCAGGGGATGAACTAGTTACAGAGTGCGTCTACAAAACCGTAAATAGAAGCTATCCAACATATGGCGGTTATTCAACAAAACAGGAAATGTGCCTCTCTTTTGCTCTTCATTATCCCCGAACTCCTCTGTCTGCATGCCACTCCATGACCCCAGTGGAACACTTTTTTTCCACTTTGGGAGTAGACCAATTTTATGGTGTTGACATGCCTGCAGTAGAGAGACTCTTCCTTAAAACAGGGTCCCCTGATAATGGGTAAGGGTTATTTTTATTTTATCATCTGATTTGATTTTTGATGATATGATAGTGTTCCTGAATCATCTAATTTAATTTCTATAATTTTCTATTTTCAGGGCAAGTGATGAAGAGAAACTTCGCCAACTTGTTAAATCTTTCAGAACTACAACAACACCCACTCCTAGTGTATTTGATGCTCCAGTTGGTGATGAGTGGGATGATGAAGCTAACCAAAGGGCTATTTTAGCACTAAAGGCTGCTAAAGATTTTACTATAGAGGGCGAAGGTGATCCAGAGGGAGCTGGGGCAGGACCTGGAGGTCTCTTCGCTGATCTTGTCATAAAGGAGCCCGCCCAATTCAGAAACAGGACGTTTACAGAGCATCTTCTAGCTTTACCCTGGTCAGAATCTGATTTTACGTCTAGACTAGAAGAGGTTTTAAGCAGTCACCACATGGCTTTTTGTAGACTACAAGATGATCAGTTAGCTGTGGTAAGTTTCTATTAGACACAAACAACAAAACTTAAATTCCTTATTAACTTTTTTTACAAGACGAATTTTTATTTTTTTTGTACAGCCTGCAGATGTGTTTAAATTGGAGAATACAACAGCTTTCTTGAATGAATCTGAGCAGCCTACATCCCAGTGTCAACATGAATTTAGAGAAGATCTTGACCAACAGCATCTTTTTAGTGGGGCTGCATCTAGACTAGTCATGGACTGTTCAATAGCTTTGTCAATTTGTCTGTTAGTCTTCGCGTTTGTCTGATTGGAATGTATGAGGAAAAGTATAATGAACTTCTCATTGACATGCTCTCTGCAAGAAGTTCTTACCAACAACATTTCAAGGTAGTATGAATGCTCTGACAAATTTCCTGCAGCAGACATGTCAAATTGTAAGTTTCATTTGCACAAAATTGAAAGTCTGATTGTAGTTTTAAGGCTTTCTATATACTTTGAGTATTTTACAACTTCAAAATTCTTCTATTGATTTACAAAAGAAAAAAATTGTGAGCATACCCAAAGTGTCAGAAAATAGCAGTCTTGGCAATTATCTTGTCATAATTCCTGTTCGATTCTTTATGAGAGCTTCAACCAAAGACAGTTAACCAATGATTCTTATTGTTCTTTTTACGCATCTCACATCTATAATCTATTATTTCCCTCTAATTGCTATCTACCGAAATTGCACTTTCCTTTTTATGTTATTGGGGGTGTTTTTAGAGACAAAAATTAGTGTGTAACTGCACGAGTAGCTAGAGAAGTATTATCTCATACCCCTCATGTGATATTTCAGTTTTGTAAATACCTATGTGGTCAGCCATTGTACATATATATTTTTTTTAACATTTAGTACTTGCTATTAATATTTTGATTATCTAAAATAATTCTAACTCAGCACGGCTGGGCAAGCATGCAATATGATGATCCCCAACAAGTGTACTGTATCATTTCAAATTGTACATTGTCTAATCTTAATTTACATGGCATGCTGCAATTTATTACCTCAATATATGCAACCATAAGTTCCTCTTACATATGTAAATGTGGTTGGAATTGCTTGTTTATTGCTATGATACAGTAGACAAGTTGGAAAAAGGAAAAGAAGCGTGACTCGTCAAAAGCCGCAGCCAGGATTAGAACTAAGGCTGTGAAAACTCTTTTGTCATTCTTATCTTAAACATATTTATACTAGTTCTCTTTAGCATTACTTAAACAGCATTGAATAATGCGTTGTCTAATTGTGGCCTTTGTGGGTGTATACCACCCTCTTATTTTCTTATTTTTGTACCGAGAGTATTTTATTTTGTGTAAAGATAAACGCTGAGAATTCTATCTTGTCAGTAATTTTCATAAGACTGTCTCTTAATTTGTAGTTTATGATTCTCTCTCTTTTCAACCATCTTAAAATTGCTTGCTCCCTTTCATAAACAATAATTAGGTTTTCAAGAGCATATTTGTAAAATTTAAAAATAAAGTAGGGCCCGTTTTTGCAATTTTAAATTTGCCTACCCCTTCAAAAATGAATGTTTTGAGCGTTCATTGAAACATGCTGTTCATAATATTCTTTTTGATGTAGAATGGATTTCTTTTCATACTCAGAACTTTCCAATATCACTATGAAGAATGAACATTCAACAATGATTCTGGCAGATTCTGGTCAGCCGTAGTCAACAAGTCTCTTTTGCATTCCAGTCATATTAGGTACTAGTGAAATGGTTACAAAACCAGTATTGTGTTTAAGATCTCCCTTGTTTTTGATTTTCTTTGTAACTAATTGGGCTTAGAGAATCTGTTTCAAGACAGCCCGTTCCCTATATTTGGCCATGTTTCAAATTGAAGTTTACGTAACACAATCATTTCATCTCATAGTGTTAGGAACATTGCACCTAGAACAGACTGAAACCAAAACTTGCCCAAGTCGCATATTTAATAAAACATATTTTGTACAAACTGCGGCTCTTTTTTACTCTAAAATATCCATTCGAGAAAGTTCAAATCCATAATTTGAAGGTCATGAAAGGCGGCGATGAAGGACGAGGAGACGTCCGCTGAACGTCGAGCCCAACACAAACCTCTCTAGATCCGAATTTGTTGGTAAAATGACACAGATTCGGATCTACAGGGTAGGCGTGAGGCCGCGACGAATCGCAACAGAAGGGAGGCTGGAGCCTCCGGTCCAGGCTGAGGGCGACTCGGGCCGGCTGAACCCGCTCGCCCTGCAACAGGGGCGGGGCGATGCGGAGGAGGAGGCGAGGTGACGAGTCCACTTGTTCTTTGGTGTACACGGCACTCGGGCACGCTGGGCCACTCCTCCGAGGCTCGCAAGTGTCGGCGGAGAGGGCTCGGGGGCCCCCGCGCGCTGCTCCAGGACAAAGATGGCCGTCCCCATCCGCCCTGCAGACTCCGGGTGGTGCAGCCGCCGCTGGTCCAGCAGCAGGGGCCGTCGCCCTGCGAATGCTACTCGATCGCGCCCCTCCCCTCCCAGACTCGCCACGCCGCTCCGCCCCGCCACCGCCACCGCGCCCACCCCCCGCCCGACGCAGCCACCCCTACTGCAAACAACCCTGCTTCTCCCCAGCTCCAGCGTGCGCCCTTCCCTACCCCACCGCGCAGCCGCCTGCCCCGTGCCCTGATCCTGCCTGCAACACCCTCCTCTCCCACCTACAGGCGTCGGCAGAGAACTCGACTCGTATCATATAGTGGTTTGATAGTTTAATCCTGCAACCCTTATTCCTTCACAACGTATTCTGATTGAGGTTTCTCACGATTTTTCTTTTCAAAACTCCCGCCTTGGCTCGCCGGAGCGAGAAGCACCATCGGCATCACGTCTCCGATCAATGATCACGCGTCCTCGGCCACAATTATTCTCGGCAGGGTTGAAGTTTTTTCCAACTGGTGTGGGGGTTAAGCACCTGGCAGGAAAATCGAAGGGGTGGCGACCCTCGCACGCCCTCACGCCTCGGCGGGGTATCGGGGTAAGTACCTGAAAGGGGGGGGGGGGGGGCGAAGCTTAGGGGTGGCGACCCGCGACCCCCGTAAGCCCTCGCCACTCGGCGGGGTAACGGGGTAAGCACCTGACAGGGAAGGCGAAGGGGTAGCGACCCCCTCGCCCTCGCATTTCAACGGGGTAAGAGCCTGACGGGGCCATGGGGTGGTGGGGCGGCGGCAAACAGCTACCCCCGCTGCTCCTCACGGCGGGGGGGCCGCGCTGGCCGCGCTCAGCCCATGGCAGGTGAGCCTTGTGGGCTGTCGTCATTCGCCTTCGACCCACCTCGGACGTGTCCGCCGGGGTTGGTCTCTGTCGCACGCCTCAGGTTGAGGGGGGCTCCCCGCTCCCCGGGAGGGATGTGCGACACGGAGGAGGACGGGGGCCACGCCTCGAACGCGCCCCCGACCCGACCCACCCCCGGGTGCCCGGGTATCGATCCCCGGGACGGGCCTCGCGCCCGCCACGCCGTGCTGCGCCCGCTGCGGCCCCCCGCACCCCCACGAGTAGTCCGGCGGGTCACCACCTCGCGGCCCTCGCCGGCGCTGGCGTCGCCCTGGCCCCGCGCGAGCTTGCCATGGGCGAGCATAGGCAGCCAGTCGAGTGACAGGGCGGGCCGGGGTGGTCACGCCGCCCGCGGGGCCTCCGGGTCTCCCCCTTCTCCTGCCTCCCCCATTTTCCCTGGGGGGGTTGCACCTCGGGGGGCAGCTGGCTGCACTTTCAGCGCGGGTGGTCACGGCAATGCCAAAAGCCAGAGCAGCACCCCCGCTTTACGCGAAGTTCCCCGTCGTCCTGCTGAAAGCGCTGCCAACGCTATGGCCGCCGCTCCCCTTGGTGTGCCCCCCCTCCCCCCTTCATCCCTCGCCACGTCACCAGAGGTAAGAAGAGCTTTTGCTTTTAGCTGTGATGGTCTCTAGCTTAGCTGGGGCCCGAGTCGTTTCAGCAAAGCTTTTGCTTTCTCACTTGAGTGCGGCATTAGCCTTGTGGTTTCAACCCCTTTGACCGATTGGGAGGGGGGGG